GTTCTAGATATATAGCTGGACTCCGATCACTGGATTCTACAGATTGGCTTAGTGGTCTCCTGGTGTTCTACAAAACAGCGTCAGTGGCTTTTCACTCTCTGGCTGACTGACCAACTGGATGGATGGCCATATTCTATCAGCACTCGGATGTTTTGCCTTGAGCGAGCTGGACTCAGTCTGCAAGCGGTTCTATTGAGGGTCGCGGGCCGGCTGTGGCTCCTGGACTTTGCTGGCCAGACGGGATTGAGCTTGGAGAAAGCTGATGAATCGGCTCGGCGGAATTTGTCCACACCATTTTGCCTGATTGGATTTGCCACCCTTGAGATGCACCAGCAGACATTAAAGGCAGATGGAAAATTGTTATCGTCTGCCTGACTCTTTTGTTCCCAAAACAACTGATTACAGAATCTGGATCTCCCCAGCAACAGCCTTGATCTGTTGACTAAATTCTTCCTGGCTGGATCTTGTCGACAAGGCTCTGCCCACTCCCTAACCCCTCCCTCCTCCCTCACCGGCTGATCTGATTTCCTGAGGAAGCTGAGGCCCCACAGAATGAACAATTTACCATCAATATTCTGAACTTTGGCTGCGCTGGCTTTGGGACTGGATTCTTCGGGCCCCCTAATCTCAATTACTCCTCTGGCTAATAAATCTTCCCTATGCAGAGGGTTTTTTCATAAACACCATAGTGTGTCACAGTGTTGATACAGTATGATGTTTTTTTTCTCATCTTCCCTTCCCTTGTATGGTTTTCTGTTTCCAAGAATGGTGCCACGGCAGGCAGCCTGTTACTACAGCTCCACTGTTTTGAGTTGCTGTAATGTTCAAATTTCCCCACAGTGGGATCAATAAAGTTTTATCTTATCTTATCTTATCTTATCTTGTCTTATCTTGTCTTGTCTTGTCTTGTCTTGTCTTGTCTTGTCTTGTCTTAAACAAAAACACAAAGGATACATGGAGAAACAACACAGAAGTGACATAATAGATGAAAGTTACGCAGATTTCATCAAACAAAACTAAGCAAGACGAGAGTGGAAGTATACACTCACTGGCCACTTTATTAGATACACCTGTCCAACTCATTAACACAAATGTGGAATCAGCCAATCACATGACAGCAACTCAATTTAGTCATGTAGACATGGCCAAGATGATCTGCTGCAGTTCAAACTGAGCATCAGAATTGAGACGACAGGTGATTTAAGGGACTTTGAACAGGGACAATAAAAGTAAATAAATAAATAAAAGGGACATGGTTGTTGGTGCCAGATGGGCTGGTCTGAGTATTTCAGAAACTGCTGATCTACTGGGATTTTCACCCACAACCATCTCTGGGGTTTACAGAGAATGGTCCGAAAAAGAAAAAACATCCAGTGCGCGGCAGTCCTGTGGGCGCAAATGCCTTGTTGATGCCAGAGGTCAGAGGAGAATGGCCAGACTGGTTGGAGCAGATAGAACATCAACAGTGACTCAAATAACCACCCGTTACAACCAAGGTAGGCAGAAGAGCATCTCTGAACACACAACATGTCCAACCTTGTGGTGGATGGGCTACAGCAGCAGAAGACCACACCTGGTGCCACTCCCGTCAGCTAAGAACAGGAAACTGAGACTACAATTCACACAGGCTCACCAAAAACTTTGGGTCCATTAATAACAATTGAGCATCGTTGCAACGCCACAGCCTACCTGAGTATTGTTGCTGACCATGTCCATCCCTTTATGACCACAGTGTACCGTCTTCTGATGGCTACTTCCAGCAGGATAACGCTCCATCTCATAAAGTGTGAATCATCTCAGACTGGTTTCTTGAACACAACAATGAGTTCACTGTACTTGAATGACCACCACAGTCACCTGGGGTCGGATTTATAAAACTTGTGTACGCCACTTTTCACACCAAGGTTGTGATTTATAAAATCCAAACTCGACGTGAAAATGTGCGGTGCCTCACTCCGACTCTGACCCATGCGTACGCTCATTTTGGAGACGTGAAACTGTGACACAGATGGTGAAGTGAAGAATTAGAGCCACACTGTGTAATGATCACTGTCAGATATTTAATTTACCTTCAGAATCAGACTTAGATTTTTATTCAACTTTATCATCAGCTTTCTTAAAAGCATTATTTATGCTTCTGCTGCTGAGCCATGAGAACTGTTATGGCAATATTTATTTAACAAAGACAGAAATACGTGGTCCAAGAATGAAGGTACTCCGTGAGATGATCAGC